TTTGGTAGAATTCCATATGTGGATCCAAAAAAACTTTTAGATTTAAAGTTTAAGTATGAAAAAGCTTCAGATATTTATAGTTATGGTATATTAATGTGGAAAATCTCTAGCGGTGTTCCTCCATTTAAGGAATTAATTAGTAAAGGTGATTTAGTATTGCTTCGTCTATCTATTATTGATGGATATCGTGAAAATTTTATAGAAGAGACCTCTGAAGATTATAAGAAGCTTTATGAAAAATGTTGGAATTCTATACCTGAAAATCGGCCTAGTATTAAAAAAGTTTTAAAAGAGTTTAAAAAAATGGGGTATGGAACAGATGGAGAAAATAATTTAACTTATGAGGATTCTCCTAAGAAATCAGAAACAATTACTAATGACATTTCAAGAGAAGGTACAGTAATGTAAATTAATAAATTATTGATTTAAATTTTTACTAATTATACTATAATTCTTGCAATAACTTTTCATATTAGAAATGTTAACAGACGATTTAAATCGTCAATTAAATATACAAGATGATTTAAGTAGTAAGTTATTTAATTTTATATTTAGTGTTTAATGAAATGCAGTATGCTAACTAAAAATTTGAATTTTTCATTTATAAGTTTCATAATTTAGTTTTTTTAAAACTTTTAAGTGAAGGTTATATTATATCAAATCTTTTATCACTTCATATATTACCTTAAGTATTTAAGAGAATTACTTGAATAATACTTCGAGAATTCAAAATAATTTTATATGATTTACCGCATGCAGAATTTGTTATAAATTATTAAATTATTTCAATTATTTCATAACCAATAAATATCAAGATTATAATATTTAAATTTTACCAAGAAAGCTTCCAATGTATAATTTAAATGACAATTTCAAATATATATTTTTTTCGTATTAGAAAGCGAGCAACTTGAAAAAATTTTTTTGAGATAAATGTAAATTTGCTATCAAATTGAAAAATTTTTTATGACTTAAAATAAATACATTTATAAATAATTAAGTCAATAGTCAAAAACAATAATAATTTATTATTGCCTAATTTTCGATATTGGTAAGATTTTAATTGGCAATGTGAGAAAATAAGATCGATGCATATCATATTATTTAAGAAATATTTCTTTTATTCTAATTAACTCAAGAAGAACTTTATAAAATTTCCGCAAAAATTTTAATTCAAATAAGGTAAAAAAATTATTGAGATAAATTAATAATTATTTTCTTTGTACCGATGATCATTTTACTGACATGATTATACCAATAACCAAATATTACAGCTAATTTGTGATAAAAGGTTAGATTTTAATATATTTTTGGTTGTATTTATATGTTTAAAATCTTTGATGATGGATCGAATATAATATATAGTCAGTTTTCACTTTAGAATTTAGTTAAAATTTTGTGGTTTGAAGGAATTATTATTTTGCATATGATCACATACAATATTATCGTGACAAAATTTTTTTCTAAATTTAAAATCTTAATTCTGACAAGGTTTTTATTTCGACTGTAGTCATGTAAGACTAAATCTTCAACCAAATAATTAATGTATACTTGTTGAAATTAAATTTACTATTTATGTTAGTGCAGCGGTACTTATTTGAAGTATTTTTGACGACGAGCGAAACCATTTAAATCGTTCCAATAAATCGTTCCAATAAAGTATTTTTAAAACATTTATAGTAATTATTCCTTATTCAATACACTATATGAGATAAAAATTGTTTAACCAACCCAACCTTTATATCATACGTAAAGTATTGTGGAAATTACATGGCCTCTTATCATTTATTGTTCCTAAAATAAAATATAAAGTATAATAGAGTTGGAACCGGTTAATTAACCAGTTAAGACGTTTATCTTATTAACCGGTTAAAGATTTTTTTAACCGATTCTAACCTCTAAAGTATAGATGAGATGCCCGCAACCAAATTTCTAATAAAATTTACCATTACTACGATGATAACTGAAATTAAATTTCGTCCAGAATTACAAAGTTTACTTGAAGTATTTTAGATTGTATAAAAAATTATTTTATTATTAAGTAATTAATGGGAATTTAATAACGAAGAGAACCTAAAACATTTCCAGATTTAAGTTTTTAGCTTTTTGGTCAACATTTGACTGCGCCCCGATATGTCAAATTCTGTTGGAATTGACTTTTCGGACTTCGGACCTCTATGATTCCATCTGACTTTTTTAGAATATCAGTAATAGTACTAGGACGAACATTATATTCTAATGCTAGCTCAGTATTTTTAGGTGTGAGCTTTAATTTTTTTTTAAACATCATTTTTTACATCAGTGATCAATTTCTGGCATCCAAGCCGCAAGACTACTGATATTTTTAAAAAATGCCGTAACAAAGCCATGGGAAGGAATTTTAATAAAAAACACTTCGATTTGCTCTTAGTTTACGATAGGGTTGCCTATTACAGAGCGCTGGAATAGGCAGTAATTTTTGTTATTGAATTTTCTTATTCCTTATTTAAACTCATTTCTTTTTAAACCTTTGTAAATCCATTCATTTTTTTTTAATTGAAATTCGTCCCATCGGCTATAATCACCTTACGGTAAATCATAAGATCCGTGGTATAATGACAATTTAAAAAAAGTCATTTTATTATTAAGCCGACTCTTTTGTGCCAGTGTTTCGGTTTTAATTTTTAAAATTGGTAAAATGGTTCTACACTCAGGCAAACTCAGAATCTGTTTATCCATTTATATTATTTTAAACGTCAAATTAATATTATTTTTTTAAAAAAAAAAAAAAAAATAAAGAAAATATATTTACAAAAGAATGCTTTTTTATTTATCCAGTGGAAATAATAATAAATAATCTTATTAAAAGCCTTACTTTTAAAAAATAAAAGTTATTATTTTACATGATAAAGTTTATTTATAATTTTTAATGTCACATGTCGGCATGTAATTAAGCGTTTTTAATCAAAAAATTTAAAAGGTAACTTGTTTAAAACCTTTGTCAAAAAAATCATCATTTTATTATAGAAACGTGTTAATATATTCAAAAAACTGGAAATACCATGAGTTTTTGACAGGTGTCATCAAAACTAGTTTTGACATTTGCTAAAATATTTTTTTTAAAGCAAATCTGCTTGAAATCTTTGACGAGTGGAGAACTCATCTTTTAAAACATTACATCTTTTTGAGAATGTTGTATCATGTACGAATTTCTGTCTAGCCTGTGTGTCCAGTCTGTTGATATTTTCTGTCAAAAAGGTATGAATTTTAACTATAAGCTTCACAGGTTTATCGTAAAATATAAAAATGTGATTCGTCATGCTTTTAGCATAAAGCAGCACATAATAGAACTTTCTGAGAAGTTATAAGCTTGTAATTGTAGTAAAAGAATATGAAATAAACTTTTATAATTTCAAAGTAAACATCCTTTTATATGGAAAGCTAGTTTACCGCAAGAAATCCATTTAAAAGTCCAGTCCTACTAACAATATTTCGATATAATTTTTTTGTTACTAGCAATACAAAGTCTTTCGGGCGGAAGGTCGGAAGAACCTAATCTAATAACATAAAATCTGTAAAAAAAAAAAAAAAGAATTTTGTTAAAAAGGTTTTTTTTAATAAAAAAAAATAGATAATAAATTATTATAAAAAAAATAATAAAATTAAATTTTGTTTTATTAAAGGAAATAAATTCTACCAAGCTTAGTAATTGAAATGAGGGACCCCGTGTGTCGCCTATCTTTATTTTATATTTACGTAAAAAAGTTATGTGCAACAAAAACTACAAAAAAAATGATGTCATATCTGTAACATATGGTGTCATATCATATTACTACTCGTACCAAAATTCAGAATATAGAAAAAACGAGAGAATTTGAATATCTAATTTATGGAAGGAAACGTAGAAACATATTCGAAAATTACCTGGACTGACCTGTAATTTTTATCGAGTCTTTATCATGGAAAGATGCTAGTTAGTCATCGACTTCGATTATTCAAAAGTTAATTCGCAAATAATTTATAATTACATTTTATTCATTCATTGAT